TTGCATTTTCTGTCTATGCATGTGCTGGGTTAGTATATTTAAATACATCTTTCTAGTCCTATTGATACAGGATATTGGACTTTTTGTTTTTTCCACTCTGATTCTATTGTTCTTGTCCATTTTGTTTCTTTTGGTTGATATCGCAGAGATGATTCTCCTGCTTTATATTCATCATTTGGATCATATAATTTGCCTTGTTGATTATAATTTCTTTGATTATAATCATTTGTATCTTCTTGAATATAATCATCTAGTTCAGCCATTTGTTGTGCATCTTCTTGTGTTAATTGTTCTTGCTCTGTTTGTCTGAATAGTTCTTGTCTTTGTTGATTTTCTCTTTGAAATTGTTCTAATCTTGGATTTCTAGAGGATGATTGATTTGAGAGTTGTGACCTTTGTCTTTTGTAACTATATTTTGGTAGTACTTGTTGGTTATTGCTTATTGGTACGTAAAGACTACTTGATTCTGATATTATATCAGTCAGTTGTACTTTTTTAATTAGTAGTGATAATCTATGTTATTTATATTGGGATTATTGTGCTGATTGTATTAAATTTCTTCTACTCAACATTTGTTGTGCTGCACTTAATGTACTTTGTGTTTTTTTTTTTATTTTTGATATAAAAGTTGGTGATGTTGGTAAGCTTGATCTTGTTGCTAGGTGTGATGCAGATAAGTATTTATCTTGGTCTTGTTTATTTAGCTATTTTAATATTCTTTTAAAGTTATCATTTAGTAACCAGTTATCTGCTTTTGTTCTGTTTCTTGTGGTTCATTTACTGTTGGTCTATATTCTTCGTGATATGGATATTTTGGTAATAATATTTCTGGTAGTTTTAAGCCTTGTCGTCTGGCTTTTTGTTGTTTTTGAAACATCAATTCTTTTTTGTCTTTTATATCATATATTTTATCTAGATTTTTTAAAGATACTCCCAATAGTTCTCTGTACTTAGCTTGATATTCTCGTAATAGTTCGCTTTTGTATTGTTCTATTTGTCTAGTGAATCTTTCTATTAAGATTCATTGTTCGTACTCTTGCATTGCTTCAAAGTTTTTTTTATCTAGATTTAATACAGCATTAGTTGTGTATCTATAATCTTCTTCTATGTCTTTTACTAGATCTCTATTTTTCCAGAGAATAGCATCTTTTGTTTCTGTTAATGCAGATATTGTTTTGTATAAATAAGTTTTTTTATCATCAGCTGTTTCTGCTTCTAGTATTTTTTATTTGTAACTTTTTTAATTTTTGTATATATTTATCAGTTTGTTGTTTTGATAATTAGAAAACATATTTATAATTTGTTTCTATACTGTTTAATCATTGTTTGAGTTGGCTTAATCCTGTTCGAATTCTCAAATTTTCTTGTTTTTTTTCTTGTTGGAGTATTCGATCCAATTGTGATAATTGTGTTTTTATGAATGTTCTCATTTTTGGTAATTTTATATTGTTTCTTTTTTCTTGATTTAGAATTATATTTAGACTTTTAGCTTTGCCTTTTTCTTTCTTTTTAGTTTTGTCTTCTTTTATTATTTGTTTTTTGAATTGATCTATTTCCTTTTGTGCTCCCTCTAAATAGAGTTAGTTTAGTCTTTTTTCTTGTTTATTTTGCGGTACTTCATGTTCTGCTACAACTGTTATTTGTTGTATTTGTTCTGTGAGTAATGTTATTTCTGAGTCTTCAAATTTCATTTCTAATAAAATTGTTATTCCTGATGATCCTCCAGAGTATTGTTTTTTGTGTTCTTTTAATTCTTGGTCTTTTCCTTTAGACCATTCTTCTTAAAGTATTTCTTCTTGAAGTATATCTCCTGCCTATTCTCTTAGTTTAGAGATTTCATGTATTTGTACTATTTGATTAGCTATTTCATTTGATGGTGTCTCTACTATCACAGCATAAACCTCTTTATGCTATATAATCATTTGGTATACTTCTTGTGGTATACTTGCTTGTGGATCTAATAGGTGCTCGTGTTTGTCCATTCCTCTGCCGAATATCATTTCTGGCAGGCTGTTATTCATATGTACTAATATGATTTTTTGTTTGTATATTCTTAGTACATTTTTATATTCATCTATTCGCTTGCCTTGCCTTGCAGCATATCAGTACTGCGTATCAAAATATATACATATTCACTTCTTTATTCTTGCTTTGTCTTTATATCTTAACTCTTGACTTATACTATTCACTATATCAATAAGGTCGAGAATAGTTGCACCAAAGCAATTATTGCTAGCTGAGTTTCTAATAGTAATCTGATATCTCATCGGTTCTTATCTATTACACATAATATTTCATTGATATTGTCGATCACGTTTAATCATTTCTTATCACTAGCTAAGATACTTATATGTATTATAGCCCATCTAATATTCATTTCTTGTACTCTCGCAAGCTCTTGTAATATTCTATTTATTTTTCAATTTCTCTTACCATTGTGCTTATACAATGGTTAGTTAATATACAAACCTAATATTATATGTAGTACTATTTTTAGCCCAATATTTTTGTTGTCCATTATAATATTATTATTTTTTGTTTTATCAGATTCATTACTTTGTAATTCAGCATATCTTTTTTCTTGTTCATTTTTAAATTGCCCTTTTAATTCTTTGATATTAGAAAGATTTGAAGGATATTAGAGTCAGTAGCTAGAGCAGTTCTTACTATTTTGGATCATGTTCCATCACAAGTTGTTTCAATTAACTTGTTTCTTTGTTTGTTTCTTTCTACTTGTTTTTTTAACAAGTTTATTTGTTTATTGAATAAATAAGGTATTAGTTCTTTGACCAGCTTTTTGTATTTCAGGTTATAATATTCTTTTTTAAACTATTTGATTGATAATAGTCTATTGGTTATCTTCTTTATCTTGTCAATAAGATAACTGATATTCTTTTTGTTAGACACCATTCGTGTTTGTTTACTTGTAGGTGTAAAGTTTGTTTAATTAGTTACTATATTGGATGCTATTTACAAGGTTTTTTCTGATTTTTGAAAGGTATCCTGCTTTTTAAGATATTTGGCTAGCTTGGACTCGTTTGATCTCAAGGCTCGGAGAGGTACTTGCGAAATTAGATCATTATGAATAGAGACTTGATCATATCTAAACCTTTTTGGTATTTGATAATTTTCATCTATATCCTGATAGTTTATAGGTTTATTATGTATTTGAATGATGTATTGTTTTTGATCTTTGGTTATATTTATTTGTACTTGTGATACTTCTGAGAGTAGAAGGTAAGCTTGCCTTCCTTCTATGATTATTACTTTAAGATTTTTTTTTTTTTTTTTTTTTAATATCAAAGTGACCTCATAGTTGGTTGCCTTTATTAGTTTATATGCTAATCTGGACAACTAGCCGCTACTTATTTGGTATATAGTTTTAGAGAGTACAACTAGCTACACGTACAACTTTTGGTTGTCTATTTAAGTAGTCCGCTTATTATCAAGTTCTACACTAGATACCATACTTATAATCCAACTAGAGGATTATCTATTTAAACTCTCTGCATCACTATATCCTTATAAAGAACTAATACTTGCCATAAGAAGCGCCTGACCTAGGGCTAATTTTACACTCGAGGTAAACTTGCTAGAACTTTCCATACCCACAATCCAGCTAGTCTAGACTTCGGTAATTTATGCTCAAGTTCGAGAACAAGTACTTGTGAGCTGAGGCTGCTACTATTACCTACTTTTGCCCTTGTAAAGTTCATCCAAACCCCAGTACATACTTTACAAACTATCACTAATTAATTCTAACAATCTCCAACTACCAATTTAGATGGCCCGGAAGGGCTGTGATCTGCTTCTAGCCCCCACGGTTGGGTCTTTTTCCTCTGATTACTCTTCTAGCGGCCTGGTTGGTGGAATGTCTTGCCAAACACTTCAGTCTTGTTCAGTTTCACCAGTTCTCTTGGTAACAATTCTTTATGTAATACTGTGAAGATCTGTGCTATCTCTCTACTCAGGTCTTGCCAAGCGAGTGTCTGTTATCTTTTTACGGTTCCTTGGATTAACATGATCTGAAACTTTTATTCATATAACTCATATATCACACAAATGTCTATAATCTTCTAATCTTGTTGGTGCTACTAAGGTTACAGAGATCTTGTTTCAATTGACTAAACAGATACTGTAGCTATCGTATAGATAAAATTTTCGAAATTTGTTACCAGTAGGTTTCGAACCCTCTACCTATCCAACATATCGCTTGGGGGTGTGACAACTTAACCACAACACTAAGTCACTACACTCTATTTTAAGATTTGTCTTGTATTTGTCTACTTGGAAGAGTACTGTAATCTTTTCATAGTTTTTGATTACTCTTCTTCCAGGTAATTGTGCTGTTCTAGTGGGTGGTTCAGTTAATAGTTTGAGTAGATCATACTCTTTTGCTAGGTCTAATTCTATGATGTTTGCACTTGCTTCTTTATCTAATAGAACTTTGATTAGTTGTTTATTGATGAGTACTATAAAGTAATATGCTTTTTTTCCTTTTGGTTTGTTTGAAATTGTTTAAGGATTTTTATTGAATTTATAATTTTTAAGAAGATATTAATAATTAAGATTTTCTGATGCTTCTTTGAGCATTTTTTTAGATAACTTTTCTTTGGCAAAATGTATTATATATTGGTTATTAAAATATAATCCTTTATTTAATAAATTTGAATTAATACATCTAAGATTATTAATACTATGATATTGGTACATATTTATACATTCTCTAGTGTAACTATAATGTTTGTTATATAGAAATTGTTTCTAAACACTAGACAGGTCTTAATAGAAAAAATAATATTTGTTTTTCTTTTATTATTTGGTTTTTTAGATAATGAAGGGAAAGGTTGTGGTTCTTTATACTTTTCTTCTTGCGAAGAGTATTCTTCTTTATCTTCTTCTTGGTAATAGTTAAATTTCTTTTTGAAATTTACTTTTGGATTTTTTTTATTATTTTCTTTTTTGGGTTCTTTTTCCTATTTTGATTTAAAGTTGTTTACCCTTTTAGTTCAGAAGTTATGTTGCATGTTACTTGATTTTTATCTATTATAGTAACTTCCATTTTTCTTTGGACATGAATTTTTATGTCCTTTTGTAAATTTGCAGTATTGATATTTTTGTTAATTTTTATTGTAATTTCCTCTGTTTTGTTTGTTTTGGTTGTATCCTCTATTTTGGTTATATCCTTTTTTTGCAAATCATTGATTTGGTTTTTCTTTTTGAAATATTTAAGGTCTTCTCTAATTATTTCTTGGTTAGAATTTGTTATAAGATTCTTTCTTTTTGGTTCTACAATGTTTGGCATAATATCCTTTCTGGTAATATCTGAAATATTCTACTGTTAACATATCTCTTTTTTTCAGAGTTATTAGTTATATTATTGTTAACAAAGTTGTTGATTTTTGTCTTTCTGAAGTTATTGATTTTTCCAGGTGGTGATTTATTTTTCATCCAATCAATATTTTTTTATGCATTAATAGACAATTCATCTATCATCTAAAGAGGATCTGCAAATTTTATAAGTAAATTTTACTATTAAGCCAAATGTGGAGAGATTTCTTCTAAAACTTTTTTTATTAAGTAAATCATTTTTGAACTTCTGACATAAGTTATAGAGCTCATCAAGATGCATCTAATGGTGGTGAGAACGCTAAAATCGGCCTGGTGGTTCTTGAGAAATCTTTAAAAATGTTTTGCCGACATACAAAATTTCTTTAAAAAAAATCGATTTTTTTTAAAGAAATTTTATATGTCAGCGAAACGTTTTTTAAAGATTTCTCAAGAACCACCAGGCC